AAATATGATAGATAACTATTTCCTTGGCTAACATGTGTAAAAAATATAAACTAGAATTTTAACTCTTAAACCCTCAATAAACAGTTACAGAGATGCTTTTTTTTAACAAAAGCTAAGTTTTTTCTGGATAGATTATTTTGATTCACTTTATAAACATCACCACATTTTCTTTTTATTTGACAGGTAGAGTTAGGCAGTGAGAGAGAGACAGAGAGAAAGGTCTTCCTTCCACTGGTTCACTCCTCTAATGGCCACCACAGCCAGCACTGCACCGATCCGAAGCCAGGAGCCAGGTGCTTCTCCCTGGTCGCCCATGTGGGTGCAGGGACCCAAGCACTTGGGCCATCCTCCACTGCCCTCCCCAGCCATAGCAGAGAGCTGGACTGGAAGAGGAGCAGCCGGAACTAGAACCCGGCACCACAGGTGGAGGATTAACCAAGTGAGCCACGGCGCCAGCCCATCACCATGATAATTTTGTTAGCAGTCTCAGCATTTGCTTGATATACAGATCACGTGTGAATGCTCCTCACGATACAGCATCATTCCCTTTAGACAAGAGCCTCTTCCTCGAGACTCCTTCTGACTGACACCTGTCAGAGTAACAGCAATACACTTGGCCTCCCTGGAGGTATTTCATAACCAACCTGCAGAACCATACACCTCAGTCACTTATAACATCACACTTTTTTTTTTAAGATGTTATTTATTTGAGAGGTAGAGTTACAGACAGTGAGAGGGAGAGACAGAGAAAGGTCTTCCATCTGCTGGTTCAGTCCCCAGATGGACACAGATCCGAAGCCTCCCGGTCTCCCACTCGGGTGCAGAGACCCAAGTACCTGGGCCATCCTCCACTGCTTTCCCAGGCCACAGCAGAGAGCTGGATCGGAAGAGGAGCAGCGAGGGCACCAGTGCTGCAGGTGGAGGATTAACCCACTGCACCACGGCGCCAGCCCCCACATCACACTGTTGATGCATTTAACATCTCTGTGTAAACATTTTATGTGTGTATTTATGTTATAATTTGTATTATGTTACTAAAAGTTGTGTAAAGTTGTTTGCTTATCCTGATCACTGTTGAATGTTACCATTGCATTGAAAACTCAAGGCTCCAAACAACACATCTTAAAACATTTATTCTCCCCTTCCCCACAGCTCTTTCTATTTGGGGAGGCAAGATTTTCCCTGTCACCTGGAGGTCAGTACTGTTTGGGTCAGTGTTTGACACAGAGTGGCATTTCTCTCCCATTTAGCCATAAAAACAATCTCATCACAATTAATGAAAATGTCTGTGCCACACAGCCACCAAAGCTCTGAGCTCGAAGCTGCTCCTCCCCCAAGCCAAGGCTTGCTGCCGGGGCAGCTTTTTCATGGCTCCATCTGTGCCTCTTTGCCTACCCCAAACTCCTGAACAGCACTCTGGGGCCGTCCCCGGTGGAAGGGCAGGGAAGATCTAGCTAACTGGCTACAGCCTTGCTCTATTCTGAAAGGTGCTCACAGGGCCTCTTCTCGCTGCAGAGCGCGTGGGTAATCCTTGGAGACAGTTTCTCTGCGGATCTCTCAGGTGAAGTTCTCTTAGTGCCAGCCTCTAATGCAAGGCCTCTTCCCTGCCTGGTGTCCTTGAACACAACCTCTACCTCACGCCAACTTGCTCCCAGTGGAACACCTACAGCGTCCTTCACTTCTGCCACAAAGTCCTAGTGACTCCTCTAGGCTTGTGGTTCTGTCTTGTGCATCTTCTGTCCCAACATACTCTGCGAGCAGAGGCCGATTCCAGCAGAGGCAGCTCTCCCCTCTCAGCCTCCAAACCTTCCAGCCAAGCACCATTCTCAGAGCTTCCAGGCAGCTGTGCCAGCAACCCACCCTCATATCCACCACCCCGTGTTCTGAGATGCACAGGCAAAACTCTGTGCAGAGAACAAGACAACCCAACCTCTCCTAGGGGATGAGGAGTGCAGATTAGGAAATGAGTTTCTCCAGAGAAATCTCTTCCAGACCCTTCCATTCCAAGTCCATTCCGAGTTCAGGTGGGTTTGGTCCTCCGGTTATGAATTCTTTCATCTCACTTTGGAATGTGGGGATATTCACTGCCTATATTCTACTCCAATCTATAGGGATTGTAGCCAAAACTACAGATGCAAATCCTATTCTGAACATCCTATTACACAAACAAATATGCCATGTGAGCATGGATTAATCATGAGAGTCGGAGAAATGAAACAATGTGCATGCTCAGAACATCTAAATTTTAAGATATTCTTTAAAAATTGTTTTAACAATCATATTTTCTTATACTGTAGTACTTGTATTGTTGCTTATCAATTAAACTAGGACTTAGGCTAATGGAGCAACTTCACCTTCTAATACAGAGCTTCCATTTCTGGTCTAGATTATTTTTTTCAACTTACCAGACAGCAAGGAAGAGAGACGAGGTAGTAAATGGCAAACAGCTTCCATTTTAAGGGACACATAGTGTTGAGATTGATTCATTCTGAGAGGAGGAGCATGGTGGGGGCAAGAGGCATGGAGTCACCACAAAGACCCCGGGAGTCGGGTGAAAGCGGGCCAGAAGTGAGCAGCCCTCAGACTCATTTATTTCAGTTGGTACAACAGCTTATATAGCCAAGGCAGCCAATCTGGTCAAGGGGCGGTTTATGCCCTAACCAATCACAGCCTGTTGCCAGGCAGGCTCCCTTGCCAGGTGGGCTTTAAAGCCATTCCTGAGTAACTGACACTCGCCAACGGTCATCTTGGCATGGCCTTCTCATTCCACCACAACCACAACATAGGAGAGGAGAAAATCAATGGTGCCTGATCTCAGAAGAGGAGAAACACGTTGGGTCTGTCCTGTTCCTCTATGTCAGCCAGAAGTTAAGAACCAGAGTGGAGGCCAGCGCTGTGGCGTAGCGGGTTAAACTGCTGCTAACGACAGCAGCATCTCATCTGGGCGCCATTTCAAGTCCCGGCTGCTCCACCTCTGATCCAGCTCCCTGATAACATGCCTGCAATGGAGGATGGCCCAAATCCTTGGGCCCCTGCACCCATGTGGGAGGCCCGAAAGAAGCTCCTGACTCCTGGCTGCCCAACTCCGGCCATTGCAGCCATTTGGGGAGACCAGTGGATGAAAGACTGATATCTCTGTGTAATTTGCCTTTCAAATGAAATGAATAAATCTTAAAAATCTTTTTCCCGTCTGCCTTTTGAACAAAGTGAAAAAAGAAAAGAGTGAATGAAGAAGGTGGTACAGGGAAGGAGGAAAAGGCAGGAGGCTGTGTGAATCCCTACCTAAGACTTTAAATTTTCTTTGTGGAGTAACATTCAGGGAAAATATTGACTTTGCCTGTCTCGTACCAGGAGTGGCTGAGGGAGGGGCTTCTATGGCTCTGAGGTTGTGTGTGGCTATTTGGGGTCATGGCCAAAACCACAGAAGATCGGCGAAGTAGCATCTGAAGCGAGGGATTCTGCCGCGCCGCTCTCCCTGCTCCAGCAAGACAGCGCTGCACGTAACACTTACCCGATGCTTTTGCTCCGAAGACCATCAGGACATGGCTCATCCTGTTGTTTCTACCAACAGACAATCAAAGACTTTGAGACACCTGTGTCAGCCCCGTCCACTTAGCTTCAGGGCTCAGAAACCCAGAATCCTCTCTCCCCTTCACACACATGGTCGCCTATCAAGCTGTCCTGGTCTCATCAATGACTCCACTACTGCCTTTAGGAAAAAGCCCATCCATCTCAGAGATGGCTCCCGGCATCTTTCCCACGCGGTGTCTGTCTTAACTTCTCCCCACTTCCCCCGTCCATGCACCCACAGCCTGGCCTCCTGAGGGACTTAGCATTTGCTCTTCTCAGCAGCAACAGGCTAATTCCTGCCAACTCACTGTGCTCTGTTCCCCTGCCTGGCTAGCCCCAGGCTCATCCTCCTCGCCTCAGCTTTACTGGTGCAGCCCTTAGGTCGCGCTTGGGCTCAGTTTCCTGCCCAGACCATGACGCTTTGCTTCTGGCTCCCCACATTCCAGCACGGGATTGTGTGCCCAAAGATGTTCACACAAGTTTGTGCCCTGAGTAAATGAGCCAAATACCTGAGATTTTTCTATTACAATGCCCAGAGTAAGAATTTTTTAAAAGATTCTTTTTTTTTTTTTAAGAAAAAGTTACACAGAGAGGGAGAGACACAGAGAGGTCTTCCACCCATTGGTTCACTTCCCAGGGGGCCGTAAAGGCCAGTGCTGGGCCAGGTTGGGGCCACTATCTTCATCCGGGTCTCCCACGCAGGTGCAGGGGGCAAACACCTGGGCCATCATGCTGCTTTTCCCAGGCGCATTAGCAGGGAGCTGGAAGGGAAGTGGAGCAGCCCCGACATGAAACCGTCCATATGGGGTGCTGGCGTCGCTACAACGCCAGCCCTAGAGTATATTTTTTAATGGGGAAAGAAAGGGCCGACGGGGCTGAAGTGTGCCAATGCACCTGTCTGACAGCCACAGGAGCCTGGGAACAAAGTACCCTGCAAGGCGTCCCCGGGGCGCGCCGGGGCGCGCCGGGGCGCTGGGGCGGAGGGCGGGGCCTCTCGGGCAGCGGCCACGCCCAGGGGCGGGGCGGCTCCGGCAAGGGCAGGGCGGGGCTCGCGGGCGGGGAGCTCCCCTTCGGAGGCCGAGGCGCGGCCGCGCGGCCCCGGAGACGCGGCTGTGGGGTCTTGGGCCCCGGCCCGCCCGCCCGCCATCTTGCCCGCGTCCCGGCACCCGCGGCGAGAGGGGCGGTGTCCTGGCCGGAAGCGGCTCTGCGGCGGCCGCGCCACCACCTCAGGTCAGTGAGTGCGGCCCTGGCGCCTTGGGGCGCGTGAGAGCGCGGTGGTCAGGCCCGGCCAGGGGCGGGCCCAGGGCGTCCTCCGAGCCTCGCGTGGGCCTCGCCTTCCTGGCGCGGGGACGATGACCGCGCTGGGCGGCCGGCGGGGCCTGGGCGGGGGCCGCGGGCGGCCGGAGGGGTGCGGGGGCCACGGCGCAGCTTCCGCCGCGTCCCCGGCGCGATCGGGAGGCCAGGCGGCGAGCCTGGAGCGTGGGAGTGGCGTCAGGTTCCTGGTTCACCCGGAATAGCAACACGCCCGGTTCCACTGGTCCCTGTGAAGTACTTCCTAAAGGGCCTTTCCCCGGCCGCCGCCGCTGCTTTGCGACGGGAGCCTGAGGATGGACAGAGGCGCCTCAGGTGCCCTGAGCTCTGCCCAGTCGCTTAGCAGCAGCCTGCTGTGTGAGGACATTTGCTTAAGACAGCCCGGGAGCCGTGCAGGGCGTCTCTAGGAGGCGGTGGCTGCGGGCACTGTCGAAAGTTGCCCCGGCCGAAAGCCTGTGCTCGGATCCTTTGTACGCTTAGTGCTGTGGGAGGGCACGCATGGACTGGAGATGGGCTGTTAAGTGTTAAGGACCCGTAGGCTCTCCAAGGCTTGATGCCAGTTTTTTTTTTTTTTTTTAACTCACATTAATGATTTTTTTTTTTGCATTGTTTCTGTGTTGAAAGGACCCTGGCTTTGATCCTTGGGTTATTTAATTCCTCTGTTCTGACCCCGTGCTTCAGAGTTTACAGCGTCTGGTTTCACGCGTGTTTTGTAGGACAGTGCTGTCGTGGAGTTCTGGTGCTGAGCGCGAAGTCAGCATGGCTTTCCTTGGCTGAGAAAGCATCGGTGGGAAGTGAGCACTCGTTAAACTTGAAGGTGAGGATCTAACAGAAGGGCTGAGGACTGCAAACCCTCCCCTTGGACTCAGTTGTTCGACTCCAGGGTTTGAAAACATTAGCTTCCTGGGCTCTTTAAGAGGCTAGTAGTGATCCATCTTTGCGATGCAAGGAGCTCATTGCCTTTGGTTGTCACGACTTGTGAGATGGAAATAGGATAGGTTCTATTTTGGTTTTCTGAACTGGGACTATTAAGAGAGTTGCCAGGGTCTGAGCTGGTGAGTGACTGGAGGATTTCTGAGTCCAGGGTCCAGCATTTAGGATGACTGGCACTTAGTTTAGAGCTCTGCTCTGACTGGCTTGACATTTTTTGACTCTCTCAACACGTTTAATAGTTTTTTAAGAAAGGGAGCCCTGCAGTTTCTTTTCTAAGATTTATTTTATTTATCTGAAAGGCAGAGTTACAGAGAGGGAGGTCGGTTCCATCCACTGGTCCAATCCCCAAATGGCTGCAGTGGTCAGGCTGAAGCCAGGAGTTTCTTCCGGATCTCTCATGTGGACTCAAGGAGTCCAAGTGCTTGGGCCATCTTCTGCTGCTTTGCCAGACACATCAGCAGTGAGCCAGGTTGGAAATGGAGCAGTTGGGACTTGAACCAGTGCCTATATGGGATGCCATTGCTGAAGGCAGCAGCCTCTGAGCCCTGCATTTTTCTCTTGCACAGGTCTAGCAGATTATGCAGCTGGTTTAAGAGACCTTGGACAAGAACCAGAACATCTAGTCTTTACTTTTGTCCCACATGGAATGAAAAGAATTTGCTAATCTTTTTCTAATTGAAGGCCTATGATTCTGTGTAATTTACTTGAATCAAATTTTGAAGATAATAATATAAATATTATAAGTGTTCAGCACCAGAAGAAATGCTGATGATTCTGTATTAATAGTCATATAAATCAAGAGTTTTTAAAATTATAGTAACACTTTTCATTTGCATTTTGCAAGATGGATTTTTCTGGGGCAGGTGTTGTGGCACAGCTGTTAAGCTACAAACTTGGGACACCTGCATCCCATCTCAGAGTACCCTGGTCAAGTCCCAGCTGCTCCGCTTGCCATCCAGCTTCCTGCTAATGTGCATACTTGGAGGCAGGAGGTGATGGCTCGGGTACTTGGGTCCCTGCCACCCACGTGGGAGATGCAATTGGAGTTCTGGGCTTTTGGCCTTGGCTTGGCCCTGTCATGACTGTTCAGGCATTTGGGGAGTGAAGCAGCATAAGGAAGATCTCTCTGTCTCTGATCTTTCTGTTATTTTGCCTTTCACATAAATTAAAAAAAAAATGATTTTTCTATGTGGCATCAACTTTTACCAGAGACCGTTTGTTTATAAAGAACGAGATTGTAGATTTTAAAAATGCTTATTTTACCTCCCAGTGACATAGGAAGATGGGCCGTATTGAAGGCTATCTCCAATAACAGATGGCTTCTGTTTGTGAAGGTGTGAGTAGAAATGCCTATGTGACAGTATGTTTCCTCTTTGCTGTCTTAACACGAAGTAGCTATGTAAGGTGCCCCTCTTCCTCTTCATTCTTGAAATTTTAAACTATTAAGATTGGATTTAACTTCATCACTGAAGCAGAGTTGTTATTTGGCCAGGGACCTTACCTGCCACCATTCACTACTGTGTTCCAAGCATTTAGAACAGTGCCAAGAACATGGAAGTTTCCCAATCAATAGTTACAGAGTAAATAAAAGATGACTTATTTAGAATGAATCCTCTCTTAGGATGGTTCACTGTGGGGCTCTTGCCCATGGTCGCTGGAACAAGTTGTGATTGTTGATACCTTGCCCTTGGCTTGACCTCACCTCTACTAGGAAGGGTGGAGGGTAGAGGATACAGATATTGGTAAGACCTGGAGATAGCAGTTGTGAGAAGAGTCAGAGGAAATAGTCAACACATGCACGAGTATAACAAATGCTTAATTTACTACCTACTGATTGCCTTTCGCTGTGCTGACTGCTAGAGGTATAGAGAGACAAGAGACATTTTACCTCCACTTAAGGAGCTTACACTCTGGTAGGAGAGAGAGATGGGTGATTTAAAATGAGAGGATACTGTTCAGTGAAGATTATATGTCTAAATAACCCAGTCTTGCCTAGGGAGAGTGTAGAGAGTGGTTGCTACCAAAGTTGAGCAGATTTTGTCTTGCCTCAGAAATGAGGAAAGGGGCTGGCACTGTGGCATAGTGGATAAAGCTGCTGCCTGCAGTGCTGGCATCCCATATGGGCACTGGTTCCTGTTCCAGCTGCTCCACTTCTGGTCCAGCTCTTTACTATGGCCTGGGAAAGCAGTAGAACATGGCCCAAGTCCTTAGGCCTCTGTACCTGTGTGGGGGACCGGAAGGAGCTCCTGGCTTTGGATTGGTGTAGCTCTGGACGTTTAGGCCATCTGGGGAGTGAACCAGCCTCTCTCTGCCTCTGCCTCACGGTAACTCTGCCTTTCAAATAAATAAATAAATCATAAAAAAAGGAAATGAGGAAAGAGTGCTTCAATCCGAGGGAACGTGATTTGCAAAGGTATGGTGATGGGGCGGTAGGCTTGTTCTAGGAATGGAGTAGGACAGTGTAGTTAGCGAGGAGGAGAATGATGTGCCATTAGGCCAGAGCAGGTAGAGGCCAAAGCCATCTATAGTCTTGTAGGTTGTATTGAAGATTCGGAATTCTGCATACTCAGCAGTTGCAAACCATTACAAAGTTTTAAGCAAGGGTTGACTCATCTGGTCAAATTTGTGTTGTAAAAAGATTATTCTCCAGGTGGGTGTTTGGCACAGCCGGTAAAATCCCACTTAGGACATCCGCGTCCCATATCAGAGTGCCTGGGTTCGAGTCCTCGTGCAACTACAGATTCCAGCTTTCTGCTGATATACCTCGTGGGAGGCAGCAGGTGATGACTCAACTACTTGGGTCCCTGCCACCTATGTGGGAGTCCAGGACTGAGTTTCTGGCTCTTGGGTTTAGCCTCGCCCAGCCCTGACTGTTGGGAGCATTTGAAGAGTGAATCAGTGGGTAGGAGATTCCCTTCTCTCTCTGCCTCTCAATAAATAAACTCTGAATACATAAAAGTTGAAATAAAAAGATTATTCTGACATCAAAACAGGTAGATTTCTAAAGGACCAGAGTGGCAAGAGGGATAAAAGAATTACTGAGTCAGTGCCACACAGAGCAGCTAAGTTGTACACCCTGCTTTCTTACAGTCAGTCTTCAGGGCGTTGCCACTGCCTCAGTCCAGTAGCACTTGGTAGCCTGAGTGGAGGACAGAGATAGTATATAATTAGGCTGATCCAGGATTGAGGAAAGAGAAAGTGGCAGGCAACCAGGAAATTGAGGGTGCTGGTCGGAGTATAAATGAAGTGACTGATCCTGGGCTGACTGATCCGAAAGGTTAGGAAGGAAATAAAGCTAGTATGAGAATTCTTAAATGTATTTCCTAATCATTCAATTATGTGAGTCTGAAATTCTAGACTAGTAATTCCTGACTGAAGCTTTTGCAAGATCAAAGAGAAAAACATCTATGTTTGAGCTGAATTATTTGGTACTTGTTGATGATTTCTTTTCAAAAATGTTTGGGACCAGTAGAGTTTTAGATTTTGTTGCATTTGCAAATATATATAATGAGATCACCTGGGATAGGTTGCATGTCTAAACAAATTCATTCGTGTTTTGTATACACCTTAGCCTGAGAGTAAATTGTTGTTGTTGTTGTTTGTAACATGCTTGCGCAGTCAGTGCTCAAAATTTTTTTTTTTTTAAAGAGTGTGTGCTGGGTATATAGAGTTGAATGAACCAAAGCTTCACCCTCCAAGAACAAACTGTACAGTTGCAATGAAGATGTTTGCTCATTTTGATTTCAGACTATTATGAAGATGTTCACTCATTTTGAATCTAGACTATTACCTCTTGCCCACATCAGTTAGACATTTAAATGTTTGTAGACAGGAATGGGCACTTGGTATAGCAGTTGGGACGCTGCTTGGGACTCTCACGTCCCATTTCAGAGTGCGTGAGTTCAAGCCACAGTGCCACTCATCTAATGTACACCCTGGGAAGCAGCAGGTGATGGCAGAGTGCTTGGGTTCTTGCCACCCACGTGGGAACCCAGATTGGATTTCCCACTCCCACATTTGACCTGGCTCAGCCCTGGCTATTGCAGGCAGTTGGGAAATGACTCACTGAGAGTAGGCGACTTCTGTCTCTTTCTCTGCTTCTCAAATAAATTCTTAATAAATTCAGTTTTTGTAGACATCCTTTATTATTAAAACATCGGTTTTTTTAAAGATTTATTTATTTATTTGAAAGTCAGAAGCCAGCGCCACAGCTCACTAGGCTAATCCTCCACCTTGCGGCGCCGGCACACCGAGTTCTAGTCCCGGTCGGGGTGCCGGATTCTGTCCCGGTTGCCCCTCTTCCAGGCCAGCTCTCTGCTGCGGCCAGGGAGTGCAGTGGAGGATGGCCCAGGTGCTTGGGCCCTGCACCCCATGGGAGACCAGGATCCGCGCGGTGCGCCGGCCGCAGCGGCCATTGGAGGGTGAACCAACGGCAAAGGAAGACCTTTCTCTCTGTCCCTCTCTCTCTCACTTTCCACTCTGCCTGTCAAAAAATTTAAAAAAAATTAAAAAAAAAAAGTTACACAGAGAGAGAAAGAGGTCTTCCATTCACTGGTTCACTCCTCAATTGGCCACAATGGCCAGAGCTGCACTGATCTGAAGCCAGGAGCCAGGAGCTTCCTCTGGGTCTCCATGCGAGTGCAGGGGCCCTAGGACTTGTGCCATCTTCTACTGCTTTCCCAAGCCAATGTAGAGAGCTGGATCAGAAGTGGAGTGGCCAGGACTTGAACCGGGATGCATATGGGATTCCGGCACTGCAGGCGACGGCTTTACCCGCTATGCCACAGTGCTGGCCCCAAAAACATCATTTTTAACCATAGGTATTTTTAGTTTGTGCTTCAACTGCTAGAATATTTATTTTCTCAAAAAGCCCATTTCAACAATATTCAAAAGTTTATAGACTTAAAAGCCAAAAGAGTCTCTTAGTAAGTATGATGTGTGTACTACTGGTTGTAAATAGGATGAATTCTACATAAGCCTACAAGCATTTTTAATAGTCATATATTTTAGCATATCTTAGAAAAAATGTAATTGGCTTTTATACCTACCATCCATAGACCTTATGATTGGGTTAATGTCAATTTTCACATTTTAAAAATGAGTCACTTTAAAGAAATTGTTGGGGCCAGCACTGTGGTGTAATGGGTAAAGCTGCTGCCTGCAGCGCCAACATCCCATAAGGGCACCGGTTTGAGACCCGGCTGCTCCACTTCTGATCTAGCTCTCTGCTCTGGCCTGGGAAACCAGTGGAAGATGGCTCAAGTCCTTGGGCCCCTGCACCTGCGTGGGAAACCTGGAAGAAGCTCCTGGCTCCTGGCTTCAGATAGGCACAGCTCCGACCTGTTGCAGCCAGTTGGGGAGTGAACTAGCAGATGAAAGAGCCTCCCCCCCCGCCGACTCTGACTCTCCGTAACTCTTTAAAATAAATAAATTAAAAAAATCTTAAAAAAATAAATTGGTGGTTCCTTTTTAAGGAATAGAACTAGTATGTAGCAGAGCTTGGGATAGAAATCATGTTTCTTACTTCTTTAAACAGTTCACTCTGCCATATAAAGCTACTGCTTTTCATGGAAAGTTGGAAGAAACCTGTGTCTTAGGAGCACATTATACTTTACATCTGCATTGTGCGTTATGATGGCACATGTGGCCATTTATTTTATAATTAGATAACATATGAACTAGTCACATTTCTCATGCTTAGTAGGCACTTGTTGCTGGTGACTACCCTGATGGACCGCAGATTTTTGTTGTTGTAGAAAGTTCTCTTGGACAGTGCTGCTCTAAACTATTGCTTAGGAACACAGTTCACAGCTCTTTTAAGTTCTCCCTCCTTCAAAGGCTTGATGATACTTATTAATTTGCTCACCACGCTGAAGTTGTTAAAACCCTGAGGTTAAATTGGAAGTACTAGTAACAGTGCAATTAAGATAATTGATCATGGGAAATAAGGCCAGAACGGAGTTCTCAGGTTCTTACCAGCTCATTTTATTGGAGGAAGTGGTGGCTTTTCATTCTCCCTTTTAGTAAGTAAATGTCTTGAATTCATAGTGATAGAAGAAATAACAAATATATTGCCAAAGAGGATATTTGTATAGAGAGTTTCCTGATTTTTCAAAATTGTACTTTGTTGGTATCTTACCACTTTTTGTTTACAACTGTTTCAGTGAATGGGCCTGACTGGACTTTGTGAGCACATCCATCAACATGAGCGGTACCAAACCTGACATTCTGTGGGCACCACACCAGGTTGATAGATTTGTTGTATGTGATTCAGAACTGAGCCTTTATCATGTGGAATCTACTGTGAATTCAGAACTCAAAGCTGGATCTTTGCGTTTATCAGAAGACTCTGCGGCTACATTACTGTCCATCAATTCAGATACACCTTACATGAAATGCGTTGCCTGGTATCTCGATTATGATCCTGAATGTCTCCTGGCAGTTGGACAAGCAAATGGTCGAGTTGTCCTTACAAGTCTTGGTCAGGATCATAACTCAAAGTTCAAAGATTTGATTGGGAAAGAATTCGTTCCAAAGCATGCACGACAATGCAACACCCTTGCATGGAATCCTCTGGATAGTAACTGGCTTGCTGCTGGTCTTGATAAACACAGAGCTGACTTTTCAGTGCTGATATGGGATATCTGCAGCAAATATACGCCTGACATAGTTCCCATGGAAAAAGTGAGACTTTCAGCAGGCGAAACCGAAACAACATTAGTAACAAAGCCACTTTATGAATTAGGACAGAATGATGCTTGTCTTTCTCTCTGTTGGCTTCCACGAGACCAGAAACTTCTCCTGGCTGGTATGCATCGTAACCTAGCCATATTTGATCTTCGGAATACAAGCCAAAAGATGTTTGTAAATACGAAAGCAGTTCAAGGGGTGACTGTGGATCCATACTTCCATGATCGTGTTGCTTCCTTCTATGAAGGTCAGGTTGCAATATGGGACCTTAGGAAATTTGAGAAGCCAGTTTTGACTTTGACTGAGCAACCAAAACCCTTAACAAAAGTAGCATGGTGTCCAACTAGGACTGGTCTGCTTGCCACTTTAACAAGAGATAGTAATATTATTAGATTATATGATATGCAGCATACACCCACTCCTATTGGAGATGAAACTGAGCCCACAATAATTGAAAGAAGTGTGCAACCTTGTGACAACTACATTGCTTCCTTTGCATGGCATCCAACAAGTCAAAATCGAATGATAGTTGTAACTCCCAACAGAACAATGTCTGACTTCACTGTTTTTGAAAGAATATCGCTTGCCTGGAGTCCAGTTACGTCTTTAATGTGGGCTTGTGGCCGTCATTTGTATGAATGCACTGAAGAAGAAAATGATAATTCTGTAGAAAAAGATATAGCAACAAAGATGCGCCTTCGGGCTTTATCGAGGTACGGACTTGATACAGAGCAGGTGTGGAGAAATCACATTTTAGCTGGAAATGAAGATGCACAGCTCAAGTCACTCTGGTATACTCTGCACTATATCCTTTGTATTTGATTGTGTCTGGTTAATCAGATAGAGATGTCCCTGAAGTTTGCTGAAAGGTCAGTTATAAATACACTGAATGTTTTATATCTAAGTACAAGTTACATAATACTAAGTTACAAAGTAAAATGATTCAAAAACTCTTGAACTTGAAATAACTGCTTTGTAGTTTGTGTAGGAGGAAGAGAAGTATACAGTAGAGTAGGAGTGCTCTCATTGCCCTGACGCCTATTATGAATTGGCTCCAAATCAAAATATGTTTAGCTTTGAAATATTGTCTAAAACTTCATCACTTAGAATTTCCTATGCATTTAAATACTTATGAAACAATATACGGAAGATATGGATCAGAAATCTCCAGGCAACAAAGGCTCATTGGTTTATGCAGGAATAAAGTCAATTGTAAAATCATCTTTGGGTAAGAAAATCCCATTTTTTTTTTTCCAATGTGTTTCTAACTTTTGTATTTTTTATTTTGTCCCTAATCATTTGGTACATAAATATCCCTTTTTCTTTTTGGTTTTCTGGTTATTATCTTACTGAAATTTTGAGTTAAATGCTATTGTATTCATACCTAAATACCTTTTGGGAGGGAGTCTTGATTGAAGTGACATTAATGTTTGGTCAGTTCATTTATTCAGTACTGTTTCTTTTTTTTTTTTTTTTTGGACAGGCAGAGTGGACAGTGAGAGAGAGAGACAGAGAGAAAGGTCTTCCTTTGCCGTTGGTTCACCCTCCAATGGCCGCCACGGCCGGCGCGCTGCGACCGGCGCACCGCGCTGATCCAATGGCAGGAGCCAGGAGCCAGGTGCTTTTCCTGGTCTCCCATGGGGTGCAGGGCCCAAGCACCTGGGCCATCCTCCACTGCACTCCCTGGCCACAGCAGAGGGCTGGCCTGGAAGAGGGGCAACCGGGACAGAATCCGGCGCCCCGACCGGGACTAGAACCCGGTGTGCCGGCGCCGCTAGGCGGAGGATTAGCCTAGTGAGCCGCGGCGCCGGCCCAGTACTGTTTCTTGAAGACTCACTTTTAGTGGTTTTACACTAAATGATTTATAGGATGCTGATTGTTAATTAGTATTTTATCACAGCATTTTGCTTTTCAAAAACAAAAAGATGTCCAGTTGAAGGAGTATTTGCTGCCCAAATACTTTTAGCCATTTAATTGCAAGGACTGTAGCTGTGACATGTAGCTTGACTAACCTGAAGGAGCCATCCCTGAAATAGTCTCTGATGAATGAGTGAATGAATGAATTAATGATACATTAATGTAAGAAAGTAATTAATGATCTTTAAGAACAAAATTAAAATGATGGAAACCCTTAAGTTACATTTTCACTGACTGCTTTAAACAGTAGGTGTTACTCTTTTTATTAGGATTTAATTATGCATTTTATTATAATTGTCTCCTCAACCAAGGTTTGATCTCTAGCTTTTGGTGGTAAATTTAGGCCCAAGTCAAGATGCTAAAATGTAGTTCTCATTATTTAGTCAAGGGACAGTAGAAGTTGTAAATGCAACTGGGTTTTTTTTTTGTTTTTGTTTTTTTTTTTTTTTGGAACAGGACTTAGATCGATCACACAGATCTACAGGTAATACAAAATACACTTCTTAGAGTAAATGAAGCAGCTGAGTTGAACTGTTATGTTCTTACATTGTGGCTTTCTTAAAGGATTTTCAAATGACTTTGGTCTACATTGCTGAAAGGTGTAATAGACTTATTTTTATTTATTTTTTATTTTTTGACAGGCAGAGTGGACAGTGAGAGAGAGAGACAGAGAGAAAGGTCTTCCTTTGCCGTTGGTTCACCCTCCAATGGCCACCGCGGCTGGCGCGCGCTGCGGCCGGCGCACAGCGCGGATCCGATGGCAGGAGCCAGGTACTTCTCCTGGTCTCCCATGGGGTGCAGGGCCCAAGCACTTGGGCCATCCTCCACTGCACTCCCTGGCCACAGCAGAGAGCTGGCCTGGAAGAGGGGCAACCGGGACAGAATCCGCCGCCCCAATCAGGACTAGAACCCGGTGTGCGGGCGCCGCAAGGCGGAGGATTAGCTTAGTGAGCCGCGGCACCGGCTGTAGACTTCTTATCTACTTCATTTTGGTGTTCTCTTTAGCCCTCCACCAAAAAAAAGGGGGGGGGGGAGTAACCTTTATTATAAGTAGTAAAATGAATGAGTTTAATTAGAAACTGCCATTTTTATTAATATAGGTAAAAGGGCGAATACCCTGAATTACCCCATAAATCAACCTCAATAAACATGGTTCATGATTTTACAACTACTGCTGTGAAACTTTAAACACCAAGTGTTTAGAATTTATAGTATTTTAGCTGTTTAAAATCAGATCTTATTCTCGGTAATTCTGAAGTTGGTTATTGTGTTTGTTGCAATTTGATACATTTTAGAGAAATGCTAAACTCCCTGAGAGGACAAGCAAGAGGCAAAGTGTGGACTATCCTTGTGTTTCTGGTGCAGTAGAAGCAAGCTGAGTATTCTGTCCTTAGGTCAGAGTAGCCAAAGGTTTCCTTATGAAGGATTTCCTCATTGCTACATTTTCAGCTTTTTGTTTTGTTTGGCTTATTTGTTTTTATTTCTACTACCCAAAGGCAGAAAGTTAGAAATTGCTGTCCAAAATGGCACTCCAAGGTTTCATTTCTGTATTTTACCTGGCAAAACCTTTTTTTAAAATTGTGTGTTTTGTATTCAGCATATAGTAAACATATTGAATGATCTTACCCACAATAACCTCATGCATAAATTTATTAGAGCACAGAGCTAAGTTTTTGTTTTGGTGACAAATGATATATCAGTGTTTACTGTGACAGTTACTCTCTGTGTATTTATTAAATGATTAATAAATTACTAAATTAATAATTTTATAATTGCAATATGCAGTAAGTTCCCTCACCCAGTCAATACTTATTACATGCTCACTGTGTCCCTGGAATGGTCCTGGGATCTGGAGATATAACTGTCAATGAGCTAGATGAATTTCTTCACCTCACAGAGATTGAAGTGTCATCCCTGCTCGTGGGAATCAATGATCCAGTGCAGAAGATGGGCAAGTAAACTTGCAGTTATAGTGTGAGAAGAACAGTTCCGCACAGGAAGGATTCCTAATCTGTTGGGAAGGATTAGAGCTTCCCTGGAAGAGGTAAAGGCAAAAAGAAAGTTCAGACTGGGGAGAGCATATGCGGTAAGCCCAGAGGAAGAACTGTTAGTGTGGAACAGAGCATGAAGCAGCGAGTAAGGAAAGAATGGAGGCTAGAAAAGTAAGCATTGGGCCAATTCAAGAAGGACTGAAGAATCATGTTAAGGATGTAGGGAGATTTTCACCTTCGAGATCAAGTAAGGGAGAAGTTTAAAGAGTTGTAACAGAATCTGTGTGTAGATGGAGGAGGGATCAGGATTGATAGTAGGGACACCTGGTAGAAGCCTACAGTAATCAGGCAAGAAGTGGTGGAGTCCTTACCAAGGTTAGTAGTAGATGGATTGGAGAAATACGGTGAATTGGAGAGTGGGACAGATTTAATGATTAATTGGATGAAGGGGGCAAATTGCAGTTGGAGTAGAAATTTGAGTGGTTTGAAGAAATGAAGTAGTCAGTTATAAATAATTCAAGATGACTATATGAAGAAATAAAAAAAAAGTAGGAGACAAATCTGGGTCAAGGTAGGGCCTCTGTTGATTTTTTTTTTTTTTTTTTTTTAATTTTCCACATGGGATTGATTTAAGAGTGTGTAAATGCTGGTGACAGGAATCCCATGCCTGTAAAGAAGTTGGAAGATACAGAGAGAAGGGGTGGAGCCAAAAGATGTCTAAGAGTGGGAGGCAGTGGGATCTAGATCACAGGTTCCACTTCACCTAGTAGGGTGCATATCTCTTCCATGTTAGTCCAAGGGAAAGGGGAAGAAATGGGGTATGGAGATTGTTAGAGGTTCAGCCACCAGAGGCTGAGGCATAGGGAGGTTACGGGGAGAAGAGAGGAAGGGGAGAGCTGTTGTGGGAAACCTCAGAGTTTGACTGCAGGACAACACTGCTCTACCAGGAGAGTGGGGCAAGCAATGAAGACTGTTGACAATAGAGTGATTCACTTGTTGGCCGTTGGGGTTAGTTTGGATAGAGATGATAACAAAGACAGAACGATACTGGTAAATAAAAATGAGTGCCGAATGACACTGTGGAGTTGAGGGATGTGGAGGAATTGAGATTTCTACGAGATTAGATGTTGGTCATAAAGTGGCTCATTTGGAGTTGTGACCATGAAAGGAGTAGGTCAGGTCTTGGGAAGTGTAGACCACTGGAGATCAGAAAGACAAGTTGACTGGAAGAGCTTGTGTTGAATTCAGCCAGGACCAGAACAGACGCTCTGAGTCTCTTGTGTAATTCTGTATGGTAGTGTTCACAGTGTTGTCTGTGTATATAACTTTAATGGTTCTTCGCAGATTACTTAAGAATTTACTTTTGTTAAGAACAGTTATATTAAAAATCCATGATAAGAGTAGGGATTTAGCCTAGCATTTAAGACACCTACATCCCATATCAGAGTACCTGGGTTTGAGTCCCTGCATGGATTCGTGACTCCAGCTTCCTGCTGGTGCAGTCTCTTGGGAGGCAGTGGTGATGGCTCAAGTGATTGAATTCCTGCCACCTACATAGGAGACCTGGAATCAGTTTCCAGATCCCAGCTTTGGGGCTTTAGCCCTGGCCGCTGCCAGCATTTGGGGAGTGAACCAGTGAATTGGAGCCGTGTCTGTTTCTCTGCCTGTCTCCCCCTCCCCCCATGTCCCCTAAACAGGATAACATGATAGTACTTATTTGATAACCCCCAATTTCATGTGGCATAGTTAGGTCTCTGAGCAGGCAAAATGCAGGATATAATATCCATGAGCTTGACATGCAATTCCATCTCCCAGCTGTGAACTCAGTTCATATATATTGGTCTCTTTCATGACAAAATTTTTGTAAAATGCAGACTCAAAAAAATTAGAATATTATTAAACTGTCAGAAATCATTTAAAAAATAAATTTCTGCTTTTTACTGACCTATCTTAATAGATAACTTTTAAAATGTGTTTGTGGTTTAAAAAGTTATTTTCATTTATTTGAAAGAGAAAGATCTTCCACCTGCTGGTTTATTTCCCAAATGCCCACAATAGCCAGGGCTGGGTCAGGCTTAACCCAGGAGCCTGGAACTTAGTCTGGGTTTCCTACATGGTGGCAGTGGACCCAAGTATTTGAGCTATTACCACTACCCCAGGGGGCACATATTATCAGGAAGCTGGGTCAGACATGGAGGGGTCAGGACCTGAACAAAGCATTTCTATCTGGGATGCTGGCATCCCAAGTGGCCTCTTAACCACCATGCCAAACATGTTCCCCTGAATTGTTATTTTTACCATTAATTAAATAATACCAATTTTGAACCCAAAATTTTTAGGAGAGTTATGAAAATAAATATCTTACGTACATCTGCAATTTGTTTTAGCTGAAATTTACATTTTACCTTGATTTGTTATTCAGAACAAATATTTTAATTTTTAAAATGAGTTTTTAATTACCGTTAATCGAGTTTTCTCATGGTTTTTAAAAACTTATTTGCATAAGCTAAAAGTGATAAAAAAAGCTAAAGACTGATTTTTTATGGTTGCAAATAGAGCAGTGTACTTCCTCTTTTCAGTGGGTGGGAAGTCTTATTAAAATTAGAAAATTTCTTTTCAGAAGTAAAATAAGTAAATTTCAAGTATAATTAGCTATTATTTGGATTTCTAAACTTTTATAAATAACTCATCTTTTCATAAAGCAATCAGATATAGTTGCTGATATGTACTGATATGGGTACTGCTTTAGACTCCCCATAACCTAAAGTCAGATCATCACACAGGTTATGTAAAAGAATGGAGTGGCTATGATGGAGAGTATACCTTTGCTATGTACTGTCTTTATTCTTTCCAGGTATTTAGACAGAATGTTTACGTGAAATACTTTCTCATATAATGTAACTTGCAAATGACAACTGTAACATGTGTGTATTACTTCATCATTTCCATGGGCCAGCAGTCTGGGCGTGGCTTAGGCGGTCCTCGGCTCAAAGTGTGACAAGGCTGAAATCAGCCCTGGAGCTCAGAGTCATCTTTCGGGTTCACATGGTTGTTGGCAGAATTTAGGACTGAGGTAGCCATTTTCTTACCACCCTCAGTTCCTAGAGTCTGCTCATGGTTGCCACGTGGTTTTCTCATAGACCTTCGCGACTTGGCAGCTTTTACTGACTAAAATAAGCAGGCGGTCTCTAGCCTGCAGCTTCTCTGCACCCAGAACCCCTAGGAGTCATCTGACTGGGCAACCCTGCATTGCATGTCTCCCTCTGATTCACTCGGAGGCAACTGAGTGATGACCTTAGTCACTTCTGCTCTTAGAGGGTACTGTAAGAAGTGGAATAGAATTAAAAGATAAGTTTAATTTGGTTCAAAGATTATGAAATCCACACATAAAAATATCTTGTTTAGAAATGAATCTCAGGGGCCGGCGCCGTGGCTCACTTGGTTAATCCTCCGCCGGCAGTGCTGGCATCCCATATGGGTGCCGGGTTCTAGTCCTGGTTGCTCCTCTTCCAGTCCAGCTCTCTGCGATGGCCCGGGAAGGCAGTGGAGGATGGCCCAAGTGCTTGGGCCCCTGCACCTGTGTGGGAGACCAGGAGGAAGCACCTGGCTTTGGATCAGCGTAGCTCCAGCTGTAGAGGCCATTTTGGGGGGTGAACCAACGGAAGGAAGACCTTTCTGTCTCTCTCTCACTGTCTAACTCTATCTGTCCAAAAAAAAAAAAAAAAAAAGAATCTCAGATTCCTCCTGCCCAGGGAGTTATGCAAGGATGTGGTTGCCAGGAAGCAGGAGCCATGAAGCCCTTCTCGCAGTTATGTCTGCAATAAGAATTCTTAAAACTTATCTATTTACTGTTGATCTAGTTACTTACAAATATATAATTATAGTATTGTATATAATTATATAAATGTATGATTACTCTAAGTTACATATGTAAAGTTTTGCAAAAATAATAAAGGAAGTTGGTAATATTGGACAGTCATGTTGCCTAATTCATAATTGAGTTTATTTTGAAAATCCAGGTGGTTAAAGTAACAGATGGTTAAATAATGACAGTTTTGCTGATAAAGCGTTCTAGAATGTTTTGAGTTGTAATTAATAGAGTTGTTAAGTTTTTCATCTTTGTTTGTTTGCCACCAGGTTTCATCCTAGTTACATTACACTACCTTTAGGATTTATAGTAGTGTAAATAATGCTGCAAGAATAGGATGGCTTTGTAGTAAGAAAAGAATGAGAATATGAAGTTTTCTGATACAGCGAGGGGAGAAATACCCTTCACATGATTCCCACTGTATTTTTTTTTAAAGATTTATTTATTTATTTGAAAGGCAGAGAGAGAAAGTGAGAGAGATCTTTCATCTGTTGGTTCAGTTGCCAAATGGCCACAGCTGCTGGGGTTTGGCCAGACGGAAGCCACCAGAAGCCCGGAGCTTCGTCTGGGTCTCCCATGTGGATGCTGGGGTCCAAGTGCATGGGCCATCTTCCGTTCCTACCTCTGGTGCATTAGCAAGGAGCTGGATTCAAGTGGAGAAGCTGGAACTGGAAATGGCGCCCATACGGCATGCTAGCACTGCAGGCAGAGGCTTAACTTTCTGTGCCACAGTACCAGCCCCATCCCACTGTGTTTTAAGGTTAACAGTTATCTTCAACTTTCCAAACACTTTGGTCTCTGATCTCATTTTTTTTTTGTATATACGTCCCTGCACAGAGGAAGGAGAGAGGAGTGATAGAGAAGCTTCTACTTGGATCCTGAGCAGTGGGATACCTTGGGATTTGGAGCCTGTATTCTAGTGAGAGAAGAGATAAGACTGAAAAATAAATTAATGAATATGGGAATTTATGTTTAGTGCTAAAAGAAATAAAACCACAGGTGGTGACTGATAATGAGGATGTGTGGATTTTAGGTTGACATCGGGGAGGCTTCTGTGCAGCAGTGACTCAGCTTTGCCTCTGAGCCTCTGCGCCCACTCCACCAGCTTATGTCTGCTGTGCAGAGGAGCTGGTGTACTTAGAAACATGGAAAAATGTTTTATTGGTGGCATGTTTCGTATTTGAACTAAGAAAATTGTGGCTAACAAATTAAATCCATATTTTTTTAATTATTTGAGAGATAGAGCCCCCAACCATTGATTGTCTCTACAAATGCCTTCAGTGACAAGGTCAGGGCTGGGGCTGAAGCCAGGAGCTTAATCTACATCTCCGACATGGGTGGCAGAAACCCTGCTACCTTCCAGGGTCTACACTGCTGGGAAACTGGGATCAGAAACTGGAGCTGGGAATCAATCCCAGGCACTCTGATAATGGGACACAGCACTTACCTGGCTTCTTAGTCACTAAGCCAAACACCGCCTCTGCATATTCTAAATATACTGTTGAAATAATTCCTTTTAAAAGTAATTTACTTTCCAAGTTTACTTCACAATAACAGATATGTTCTGTTTTTAGGAGTGGTGGAGAGCAGCAGACACAATTGGAGTGGATTGGATAAGCAAACTGATATTCAGAATTTAAATGAAGAAAGAATCTTGGCTTTACAGCTTTGTGGGTGGATAAAGAAGGGAACAGATGTGGATGTGGGGCCGTTTTTGAACTCACTTGTACAAGAAGGGGAGTGGGAGAGAGCTGCTGCTGTGGCATTATTCAACCTGGATATTCGGCGAGCAATCCAGATCCTGAACGAAGGGGCGTCCTCAGGAAAAGGTATCCGGTTGTCTTCTAAGATGCTGTCAGTGTGTGGAATTCTGTTAAGAAGGCTATTAATTTGCAAATATCTGATTAATATTTTAATGTAAATATTGGTTGAAAGAGCACAATTTTATGTCTAACAGTAAATATTAGCCCATTCTTTTCAGTTATGTCTTCATTTAGGTATTTAAAAGCAAAGATGTGCATTATATGTCTTCCACCTGCTGGTTCACTCCCCAAATGACCACAATGGGTGGAGCTGGGCCTATCTGAAGCCAGGAGCCAGGAGCTTCTTCCAGGTCTCCCATGTAGGTGCAAGGACCCAAGGACTTGGGCTATCATCTTCTACTCTTTCCTAGGCCACAGTAGAGAGCTGGATGGGAAGTGGAACAGCTGGGACTCGAACTAGTGCCCATATGAGATGCCAGCGCTACAGGCTGGGGCTTTACCTGCTATGCCACAGTGCCAGCCCCTCTTATACATTTTTTAATAAAACTGGTTGCCTGAAGATTAGGACACTTCAATTTGCAAGCATTTTTGGCACACATTTAAGTTTATTTGAATTTATACTTTGTGTTTTGGGTGGTTACTGGTTGACCTTTAGGAAGCTCTGATACTTTTATTTCAACAAATATGGATTCTAATAAAAAGCATAGTTTGAGTTATAAAAGTGCTACTACTACTTGAGTCTGTAATTAAAACATAATTTCTGTTTAATATTTGTTAAAAAGAAGTGTGATAAGCTTTTTGACTCTGGTGTTTTGCCAGATTCCTCAGAGAAACAAATCTTAATCCAAAACTTCAAGTTTTCTTCCCATTAATACACCTGGCAAATTATTTCTGAATATTCAGAATACTGACTTATTTTCTGATTCATTTTGAAACCATTATAGTTACATTGAACCATAGGGAAATACATGAAATGAAGTGTAGTATGTTGGCCGGCGCGTGGCTCAATAGGCTAATCCTCTGCCTTGCAGCGCTGGCACACTGGGTTCTAGTCGCGGTCGGGGCGCCGGATTCTGTCCCGGTTGCCCCTCTTCCAGGCCAGCTCTCTGCTGTGGCCCGGGAGTGCAGTGGAGGATGACCCAAGTCCTCGGGCCCTGCACCCCATGGGAGACCAGGAGAAGCACCTGGGTCCTGCCATCGGATCAGCGGGATGTGCCGGCCGCAGCGCGCCGGCCACGGCGGCCATTGGAGGGTGAACCAACGGCAAAAGGAAGACCTTTCTCTCTGTCTCTCTCTCTCACTGACCACTCTGCCCTGTCAAAAAAAAAAAAAAAAAAAAAGAAATGAAGTATGTTTACATCCAGTGTAAAAGTCAAAATAGTGTTTCACCTAGATTGACATCTTGTCCTTTACTTTTACACTAACAAAGTTCTTCCCCATTTGAGAGTATAATAGAAAATAGGTGCTAATGAAAGAAGAATATATATTTAAGTTCTACAATCCCATTCTAACCTTTTTAGAAAATTTAATTTACTTACTAGAGAGGCAGAGTTACAGAGAGGGAGAGGTACAGAGCAAGGTCTGCCATCCTCTGGTTCATTCACCAAGTGGCTGCAAGGCCAGAGCTGGTCTGGTCCTAAGCCAGGAGCTTCTTCTGGGTCCCCTGTGTGAGCAAAGGGACCCAGGAACTTGGGCCATCTTCAAGTGTTTTCCCAGGCCATTAGTAGAGAGCTGGATATATAATTCATTTTGTCCTAGAGAAATGAAAAGTATAATACCATTGCAGGAATGCTGAAATACTGGCTTTTTGTACTTCGCAATTGACATTTATAAATAAGTATGTGCATTATAGATTTAGGAATGATAAATTAATTTTGAAATTTACAGTGCTGAGGTAGAGTAATAGTTGTATCAGTGCTTTGAAATAGCATAAATGAGCTTGTTGATGAAGTCAGCGGTGATTCAGGTAGGGCGGTCTCACTCTTCTTCATGTAGGTATGAGGGAATAACATGCTGTATAGAAACCCGCCTGGAGTGAGACACAGAATTTAAAATTTATACTTAACCTGTATAGGATTTGCAAACACAAAATTTTTTTGCTTATGATTCTTAACAGATTTTCCGAATCAAAACCCTTATTCTAGTGGGCTTACTTTTCTGGGGTTAGAAGTCACCCTCTGATTTTTGTTTGCTTGTGATTTAACAAATGAGGAAATAGAAGATACTGAGCTTTTGATCACTTAGATTAACCCAGGTGTTTTCAACATGCAGGAGACCTGAATCTCAATGTGGTAGCAATGGCTTTATCAGGCTATACGGATGAAAAGAACTCCCTTTGGAGAGAAATGTGCAGCACTCTACGATTACAGCTAAACAACCCATATCTATGTGTCATGTTTGCATTTTTGACAAGTGAAACAGGATCTTATGATGGAGTTTTGGTAAGCTAATTTCTGGTTCAGAAGATACTTGTTAAAATATAAATAAATAATAAATGATTTATTACAGTTGGAGTTTTTATCAACTTTTCAAATGTCTGTTGCACAAAGTACTTTATATATTAATACATATGAGTATATATTGTTTATTTACTTATTTATTTGAGAGGCAGACAGAGCCCCCATCATTCCCAAATGCCTGTTACAACATCTGAAGCTGGGCTGGGCTGAAACCATGAGCTGAGAATTCAGTCCAGGTCTCCCATGTGTTGCCTTCCAGGGTGCCTGTTCAGGATGCTGGCATCAGGAGCTGGAGCCAGGTATTGAACCCAAGTACTCTAATAGTGGACACGAGTATTGTAAACAATGCCTAACTACCAAGTTAAACACCTGCCCCAAGTATATATTATTTTTTTTAAAAGATTTATTTATTTATTTTATTATCTGAAAGTCAGAGTTACATAGAGAAGGAGAGACAGAGAGTGATAGATCTTCCATCCGCTAGTTCACTCCCCAATTGGCCGCAAGGATCAGAGCTGTGCCGATTGAAGCCAGGACGCCGGGTTCTAGTCCCGGTTGCTCCTCTTCCAGTCCAGCTCTCTGCTGTGGCCCGGGAAGGCAGTGGAGGATGGCCCAAGTGCTTGGGCCCTGCACCCGCATGGGAGACCAGGAAGAAGAAGCACCTGGCTCCTGGCTTCAGATCGGCTCAGTGCTGGCTGTAGTGGCCATTTGGGGAGTGAACCAATGGAAGGAAGACCTTTCTCTCTCTCTCACTGTCTATAACTTTACCTGTCAAATAAATTAAAAAAAAAATTTACAATGTTTATTTTTTATTTTTCTTTACTCTTCCTTGTTAAGCAGAAAACTGTCTAAGATGTTGCAACTTAGACATAAAATGATACTTTCAAGAGGTGAAAGAGAATGATGAAGACTAGAAGGAGTGATTTAACTTTTGAATAGACAGAATTATATTGTTTAAATACTGAATTTCTACAGTTTGAGTGAAATGACCTATAATAAATACCCTTCTTTTCTTATACTTAAATTTGCATTCTTAAGAAAGGGATAGCTGAATAGGAAGTTCATATTTTCAAGCTGTTTCAAGTACCATGTTTAGTTATACTTTATGTGTGAATAATTTCAATTGATGTTGCTCTTTTAAACGAAGTATTTTGCATGTGCATTTGAGAGACGGAGAGAGACAACTAACTAGAGAGAGCTCCCATCCACTGATGCACTCCTCAGATACCTGTGACGGTCAGGGATACCAAAGCCAGAAGCTAGGAGCTTGGTCCAGGTCTCCCATGTGGGTGGCAGGACCTCAGCTTTTGAGCCATTACCACTGCCTTCCGAGGGTTTCCATGAGCAAGAAGCTGGAATCAGGAGCTGGAGATGGGGGTCAAAGTCAGGTGTTTTCCTAAGGGATGTGGGTGTCTCAACTGGTGCCTTAACCGTCAGGCAGGCCAAGTATCTGTCCCAGTGTTCTTTTTGAAAACATGTTAAGTGTCAGCAGAGTAGTAAAAAGTACTGACTTGAAAGGGAAATCAGAAGATAAAGCCCCAGGTATTTGCTGTGCCAGTTAGTTTAAGCATTCAGTTAACCTTTGGGGGTTTTAGTTTTCTCACCTGTAAAGTAAAACAGGTAGTATTGATAACCTTTTCCAGGTTAGAATTGTAACACATATAATTGAGTCTAAGCATTAAATCTAGTTTATAGCAAATATGTTCTCTCTTTAGGGCAGAACTGTGTTTTAGAATTGAGGAAACAGTAAGGTGAAAAGTATTTCAAGACTGGCTTCCTTGGAAATTGGATCTTCCACTTTCAAATTAATTTTTAGTAATCACAAAATTAATTTTACTTTTCTGTACTTACAGTAATCATTTTTAAAAATATTTTGCAGTATGTTATAAAGCTTCTAAAAATTTTGCCACAAACTACCTACTTTAAAACATGTCATTTTGGGGGTTGATGCTACAGTGCACCGGGTTAAGCTGTGGCCTGCAGTGCCTGCATTCCATATGGATGCTGGTTTGAGTCCCCACTGCACCACTTCAATCAAGCTCTCTGCTGATATGCTTGAGAAAGCAGCAGAAGATGGCCCAAGTCCCTGGGTCCCTGCATCTACTTGGGAGACCCAGAAGAAGCTCCTGGCATCATCTTGGCACAGCCCTAGCCATTGAGGCCATTTGGGGAGCGAACCAGTGGTTGGAAGATCCCGCTCTCTGTCTCTGCTTCTCTCTCTAACTCTACCTTTCAAATAAATAAAGCTTGAAAATTTATAAAATTTATTTATAAATACTTATATATATGCCTTGTCACTTTGTATTTAGAAACATGTCCTTAAGCCCTTTGAAATTCTATACTGGTGCAGGCAGTTCACAGATTTCCTAGAATTGTTGATTGACGTAACTGCCAAAGCAAGATTTCCTTAGTTTCCCCAAAATCAGCTTCTGTGATAGGAAGATTCCATGATATCTTAAATTTGATACACTGTATATTTTTGTTTATATTTTATTTTGAAATTCTATAACATTGAACTGAATACTTTTTCAGCTGAACTTGGTCGGAGTTTAAGAGGTCAGTGTTCACATTGCCAGGACAGCAACCTTACCACTGAACTCCCCGAGAGTGGCAGCAGGAAAGGCGTCTTAGTCAGTGGCCCTGCCAGAATGCATATAACACCTTTTTAATACATTTGAAAATAAACTTTGGTTTATAAAATATTTGGTCTGTGAAAGTTTAGAACTTACAGCACGTGCAATTTAACTACTTTCTCTTTCTAGTATGAAAACAAGGTTGCAGTTCGTGACAGAGTGGCATTTGCTTGTAAATTCCTTAATGACACTCAGGTAAGAACTAATTTAATTCTGCATTTTAAGTGATTAATATTTACTGTCACATCATTATTTTAAGAAATGAATCTTCAGCATTGTGGTATAATGGATTAAGCTGCTGCCTGCAATGCCAGTGTCCCATATGGGCACCAGCTGGTGTCCCAGCCTCTCCCGATCCGGCTCCCTGCTAATGGCAGGGAAAAGCAGCAGAACATGGCCCAAGTGTATGGGATCCTGCCACCTACGTGAGAGACCTGACAGAAGGTCCTGGCTCCTGGCTCCTGGCTCCTGGCTTCTGGCTTCTGCCTGGCCCAGCCCTGAGCATTGTGGCTATCTGAGGAGTGAACCAGCAGATGGAAGATCTGTTTGTGTCTTCTCTCTGTAACTCTGACTTTCAAATAAATAATTAGAAAAAAAACAGTCTTTGTAATTATGTATGTGTGAGATTTAATGTAAAAATGTTTCTAACAAGGGCATTTATTAAATCAAGACATTGTGAACATGTCTTGCATAACTAAATTTACTTACTTATAGCGCTGATTTAGTAGTTCATTTTTGCTTTGGGGAGTAAAATTAACACATAAAGATGTTATATTCCCCTCTAAGTAATGCTTTAGAAAGATCCCTTCACTTTCAAAATAGTGAGTTGTTACTGACTGCCCATGCTTTGTACCTAGTGAAAGACAGAAGCATGTAAAAAATTAGTAGCATGGGCTCGGCGTCGTGGCACAGTGGGTTAAGCCACTTGTGACGCAGATATCCCAAAACTCAGTGCTCGTTCCAGTGCTGGCTGTCCTGCTTCTGATATAGCTTCCTGCTAATGTGCCTGGGAAGAGAGTGGTTGATGGCCCAAGTACTTGGGGTGGAATTCTGGACTCCAGGCTTTGACTATGCCCAGCCCTGGCCATTGCGACCATTTGAAAGGCATATGAAAGATTTCTCCCTCCAATAAGCCCTGCAAATTAAATAAGTAAATTTTTAAAAATAGTAAAAATGATCTGCCAAGTACTATAATAATGATAAAGTTCTGGGGCAATATAGAGGGATCTTGTCTAGTGTTTAGGGTAGAATAGTCAGCGAAGACCTAGAGGAAATGGCTTCAAAATTTTTTAAATTTATTTATCTGATAGAGAAAGAAACAGAACCTCCATCTGCACATTCATTGTTCAAATGCCCACATTGGTCAGGTCTGGGTTGGTGATAAAGCCAGGAGCTAGAAATTCAGTCCATGTTTGCCACCTGAGTGGCAGGGACCTAATTACTTCAGCTGTTACCAGCATGCAGTCTGAATTGGCAGGAGGCTGGATCAGGAGCCGAAATATCGAATCAGTGCACTTCGATATGGGCCACAGCAAAGCCAAATGCACACCCTGAAATGGTTATTCTTGATGATCTGAAATTCCAACTCAGATCCTATGATTCTTTATTTACTACTGTGACAAATAACAAGAATTTTGCAGAATAATGAGGACAATTCTGTTTAAAATTATACACCATCTATAGTTCTTTATAGAATAATTATCAAAATATACCAAATGTCTTTAAATATTTTAAATGATATGGATACAGCATTAAAATAGATAGACTTCTTGGAGAGGATATGTCTAGATTTTAGTTGGGACTTTTGTTTTAAAATGTTCTTCAACAGTAATGAAATTTTTCTAAATGTAGTGTATGTTTTTGAGGTGCAAAATAGCCATATAGTGAAACATTGCTTTAGAAAAATCACTTTGGATTTTCCAGTTAAATAGATACATTGACAAGTTGACCAATGAAATGAAAGAGGCTGGAAACTTGGAAGGAATATTGCTTACAGGCCTAACTAAAGATGGAGTGGATTTAATGGAGAGTTACGTCGACAGAACTGGAGATGTCCAGACAGCAAGCTACTGCATGTTACAGGTTGGTGCATTTTGGAAGCAGCTTAAGGACACTGTGTATTTTCGTCCTCAGTTGGAGGTGAGGTGCCGTTTTGCTTGCTTAGGATCTTTAGTAGGCATTTAGCCTAAATGTGATCAGCTGATTTACTGAACACTTGAGCCTTATGTTGCTGTCCCCAAGTCTCCTCATTTCCATTATGGGAAGTACCAGTCTTGACTGCATCTGAGTTTGCAAAGAGCTCAGATGGAAAGGCGAGAACAACTGTGTGGTTTTCCAGTTGATGCCAGAGCTGTACCTCTACAACAGAGATCCACTTTGCATGATCTCAGCTGCAGGCTTCCTGGAAGTACGGAGAGCAAGTTACACCGCAGCTCTCTTAACTGCCACTTCCCCTTTTTATTAACAGAGGGGGTGATTTGGGCAGTTTGTTTTTCTGTTTTAACTGTCCAGGTTTACAAAACAGACTCCTGACCATAGTTGCCTTCTGCGTTACTTTGTGTTGGAAATACAGTAAAACTTGGGAGTGGGAATATGTCCCTGAGACTTCCTGTGGCCTTACAGCTATTTTTCCTTTTCCTGGTGGTGGTGCCTTCTTTCCCCCTCCATCCTTGTATAACCTGCGATGGCGTGCTATGCACTGGGTGGGTCAGCACAGTTAAACACCCCTCCCCACTCATGTGACATGCACTCAGGCCTGCAAACCACAAAAAGTCACCTTGCAGGTGTCAAGCCATTGCCTGTGGAAGAAAAGGATCCTTCTGTAGCATTTTTTTTTTTTTTTACTGAAATGAGATTATGTCTTAAATTCAACTCTACATATTTGGCTACAGAGTATAATGGCTTTTTAAAATTTATGAAATATATTTAAAATAATTTAGACTGTGTAATCAGATCTTTGTAAAACTCCAGTCTGATATTCACTGCCCTTTAACTTGAGTGTTTCTCTTCCGTTTACATTGATGTGGTCAAGATGAAGTCTGCCTTGCTACTTGTTCCTGTTTCTGTCCTTTTTCCTTTTGTCCTTTTTCAGGCTTATTTTGGGTTAGTTGAATATTTCTGTATTTCACTTTATTTCCTCTGTTGGCTTCTTAGCAATACTTCCTTTCATTATCTTTTTTTAAGTGGTTTCTCTAGGTCAACATACCCATCTTGTGCTTCACATTTCACACCTGACGAATCACACTTCACTGATGCTGAGTTTTGCTTTGTTTCATGTGCCATGCTTTGTAAAAATGTTACAACACTGCAGCTCCTTCTACTCACTGTCCTATTGCTGTGTAATTTATTTCTAGATATATTATAAACTCTTACTTAGAGTGTAAGTGGTTTTCCTTTGAATAGTCATTTGTCATTCATGTAAATCGTGAGAGGAAAAAACAACGTGAACTTTTATTTTTATTCACTTACTTGTCCTTCCTTCCTATAGATCAAAAGCTTCATTTGGTATAATTTTCCTTCAGTATTTTTTGTAGTACAGGTTACAGATCCTCTTGACTTTTTCATTTTAGCTGCAAAATGGCTGTTTCACTGTTGTGTCTTTGGGTTTTTAGCAGAGTGTCTCTGATGTGCCCAGCTCTGGTTCTTTTCATCCTGTTGGTAGTTCACTGATCTTGGATCTGTCACTCATGTTTTTCACCAGGTTTGAAACGTCTTCAGACATTATTTATTTTAACACGTTTTTCTGCCCCAATCTTGATTTATTTTTCTTTCTGGACTCTTACTACACATATACTAAGCCATCTGATACTGTCCATAGCTGCCTGAGACTGTTCATTTTCCTGCCATCTTTTTTTGTTTGCCTCTGTTCTTCAGATTGGATAATTTCTGTTGATTAGTTTGTTGATTCTTCTGTAATCTCCTATGTGCTATAAACTTTCCAGGAAATTCTTAATTTCAGTGATTGTGCTTTTTGATTATAGAATCTCAACTTTATTAAAATTTGCATTTCTCAGCTCACTTTCCCTGTCTGCTCACTAATTAAAATACTGTTTTCCATTGTCTTTGAACGTTATTTCAAATAGCTACAGTGAATTCATTGTCTGCTAACTCTAACATCTGGGATATTTTAGGTTTAGTTTTGGTTCACCACCTTTTTGTTTAACTTTGAGCCACATTTACCTATTTCTTTATATGTCTAGTGATTTTTTCCCTTGAATATGGGCATTCAACACTGTGTGTGTGTGTGTGTGTGTGTGTGTGTGTACAGTTCAGTATTGAGAACTGGCTTCTTTAAACTTTTTCAGAGGATGTTTATTATTACTTTTGGACCTTTAGTTATTTGCTGATCACTTTTGGTTTTAATCTTGTTATGATTCTGTTAGAAATCCAAGGTATTTCCCAAAGCCTTCTGACTTAGTCATATTCAATCTCTGAATTATTTCCTCTGCCAATCAGAGCAGATCTAGAGAAGATTTATGAAATATGAATTGACTAAATTCTTTCTTAGTTTATTCTTACTGACTTAGAAGGGGAAAGAGTGGACTGTGAGGTTATCTTATTTTTCTGTGATATTTCTTTTTAAACCACAGAATCTGTGCTAGTGTATTACTCAAATTTGCCTGGTTAGCATACTTAGGACTAGTAGATCTTTTTATTTTAAGAAATAAAATTGTCCACATAAGGGTTTTTCCTATGGTCTATCAGCTACATTTAACTGTGATAATTGAAATTTCCACCTAATTAATAGGTGAGAGACATGCTTCTTTTTTGATTGTATGTCTAGAGCTAGATTATGTGTATTAGCTAGTACAGGTTCCTTTTTCCTGTAAGTAAGTTGTTTGCCAAGTCCTCAGACACTTTGCTCTCTGACTGGTCCTGGGCTGAGAAATCTGGGCTGTAGATTGATGGTCCAGGAGTCACTGGGAGTGAGACATCTCTACTTTCTCCATCATTCAGAGTTACGGAAGAGACCCTGTTCAGGGCTGAAAGCCTTCTGTCTGCAAGTTCTTAATGAGAAGAGCTCTAAAGTGAACTTAAATAACGCAAATTGCTGTTTTTCCATGTGGCCTATAGGCAAAAGAACTAGGAAAAATTTTGTTTAGAATTTTCCTCTTTTCTTAATATTTTTAAGCCAGGAAATGTCTGTTTTAATTGAAGGCAAGAATAAATGTGCATATAAAAGCAGCATCTCAGTCTGCAGTGCCTTGTTAGATACCAAGGATTAGGCTCAGAATTAGTTTTAAAATATGATTGAGCAATTTTGTTGCGCGTTTGGGTTAGGTAGTATACAGGGTTTGTGAACCCAGAGGTTCTCACTGTTGGGGCAAAGGACATTCGCATTATTACTTACTGAATTCCACCAGGAAGGTGAATTGTTTGCTCTTGCCTCCTTGAACTAACAGAAACAGAATTGCACTTCCTAAGCCAAAAGTATGATATATGTAGTACTATTTGTGTCAGTAGTAGAAGTGAACTTACGGTAAATTAATGACTTTCCATCAGTTATTTTATCAGTATCATCATTGAAAGTCAACTTTTGTCAAAAAAAAAAAAAAAAAAAAGAGGCCTATTTTCTTCTGTGTTACTCATACTCAGATGTTACCACAATTCTCTCCCTTAGCCAGGAAATTGGAAACAATTGAAGTAATTATGTTTTGCTTTTAGGGTTCACCGTTAGATGTTCTTAAAGATGAAAGGGTTCAGTACTGGATTGAGAATTACAGAAATTTATTAGATGCATGGAGATTTTGGCACAAACGAGCTGAATTTGATATTCACAGGAGTAAGTTGGATCCCAGTTCCAAGCCTTTAGCACAGGTGAGTGTGTTGTTTTGAAGAGAATAAAACTATAACATGTTAGAGTTCAGTTTAATTATTAGCTCATTTTTTTGCCTATATTGACATCCCATTGATATCTTTTTTTTAAAGATTTATTTATTTATTTGAAAGGCACAGTTACAAAAGGAGAGAGAGAGGGGAGATCTTCCATCCACTGGTTGACTCTCCAAATGGCTGCAATGGCTGGGGCTGAGCCAGGCTGAAGCCAGGAGCCCAGAGCTTCTTCCAGATCTGCAACATGGGTACCAGGGCCCACGCACTTGGGCCATCTTTTGCTGCTTCCCAGGCACATTAGCAGGGAGCTGAGTCAGAAATGGAGCAGCCAGGACTCAATCTGGTGCCTGTATGGAATGTTGGTGCTATAGGCCATGGTTTAACCTGCTGTGCCACAGCCTCTACCCCATAACCCTTCCGTTGGTGTCTTTATCTGTCCTAGACTGCACTTTCTCCTCAGTCTTCCTGCTCTTTCGTTCTGCCACTTCTAATCATCATCTTGGTGGCTGCAGTAGAACAAACCACAGCCAGCCCGGAGAATCTTAGAGAAACCTGAATCATCCTAGTGTCACCCGAAGTTAATATATTCCAAGCCCTTTCAGAATCTACATATGATCTTATAAATCCCATCTGTGTATTTAATTCTTTTGCACTGTTTACGTGCAATAAGGCAGGAATTGAGGGGTCAAACAATTAACAGTATATATGGACTTTTTTTCATGTTAGTATTAATTTAAAAAATGTGAAGTCACATAAAGCATATGACATAACAGAATTTTAGTTTACATTACATATTAGGTTATCCTCAATGTGGGCACTGGATGGTGCTGTTTGCTTAGTTTATGAAATTGAGAAGTCAGTGTGCTTATGTTAAAACAACCAGAATTCTGAATTAAGAGACTAATAGTTTACTGTAAAAGCAGAATGAACGGCTTCTGTTGCTGTTACTCTAGGTTTTTGGCTATTTAGCATTATAGGATCGGTAACTCCTTTTTGTCTTAGGAACATAGCATTTTCTTTAGAAGAAAATTTTGCCCAGATTACATCACTGAGCTTTGGTTTTGGTTTAGAAATCATAGTGGGATATTTTGTAATGGCCCAATGTGAATTCTAAAGTCCTTCTTATCTCTAAAGTATTGCAGCCTAAAGTTCCCTAGTTTTTCCAATGATATCATTGATATTGGGAAGATTACAACTAAACAAAGCTAACAGAAAGGAGGTTCCCACATAAGGTAACTGCTAAATGGAGTTTTTAAATGAGAGCTTGTCAGACTTAGCAAATAAATCACTTATAATGAGCAGGTATATCATTAAACAATATAATACACAGTTTTAAAGACGACATACAAAGAATTTCTTAGAATCAACATTTATTTATTGCAATATGATTTTCACTACATTTACTCCTCCTTTCATTTGTTCTGCAGGTGTTTGTGAGTTGCAACTTCTGTGGCAAGTCAATCTCCTACAGCTGCTCCACCGTGCCTCATCAGGGCAGAGGCTTCAGTCAGTACGGTGTGAGTGGCTCACCAACAAAATCCAAAGTCACGAGTTGCCCCGGCTGTCGAAAACCCCTTCCTCGATGTGCACTTTGCCTCATTAATATGGGAACACCAGTTTCTAGCTGTCCTGGTATGCCATCATTCTGCATATACTTTGTTCCTGCACAATTGAGTTAATGTTGCAGATAAAATGTATAGTAGGTTAAGTTTGTATTTCTAAGATAAGGCAGTCTGCTGACTTGAGGGCTTTTGTGAGCTTTCTAATTTGTAAACTATAAAAGTAAAGGCTGTAGCCATGATACTGCAGGTGATCTCACAAATGCTAATGCATTTAAAGTTTGTAAGAAAAGCTGAAGGTGCTTGCTGGCATTGTCTGGTTTCTAGTGAAAATGTGGAGTTGGTGGCCTTGGCCTCTGAGCTGGATTGATGTGTACTTCCAGTTGAGGCAAGGAAGCTGGGCTTGAACCATGGACCATTAGAGGGGTGGCAGTTGGATTGACCATTACTGCTAGATTTGTATTGTGGCTACTAAAGAGGTGAGTTTGAACCCAAAATGACAAGAAAAGAAGTGGCATTAATTCTGGGTGTCAGCCCTGCTGCCAGGAGATGCTCATGAACAAGTTGTGCTCCAAAATCGTGCGCAGAAAGGAAGATCTCCGTATATAGCAGCCTGTAATCAGTGAAGTTAAAGATTTATTAGAAGGTCAATTTGAAAAATGAAGTAAATGTATAGTGACTTTTCATATTATTTATGTTGTAGCCCCAGAATTCCATTTTTTTAATCTTGAATGAAATGTTAGCATTACACCATTTTCTTATGACTATTTCCACTATTAGAATTCTTCCAAGTTTGATATTTAAAAGTCTGTTTACCCTGTTCTGTTACCTTACAACTTTGCATGCCCAAGGAGCTTTTCATAGTCTCAACACATTTTGACATTTCCTCTTATTTCGTCTTCAGAACCTGTGGGTGCATAGAGGAAGTCATTAACCTGGAAGCCAGGTCCCTTGAATTCTAGGTTCTGCTACGTTTCTCAGTTACCCAGTAAATAGATACACATATTTGAACGGTTATATATACTGCTTATTTTTTTACTATTTTAAGTAAACATTTGGAAAATATTTTGAGAATAGCAGATAATAAAACATAATGTATCAGAAGACTAGGGGTGTTCCAGCTATTTATGTAACTTGAAAATGATACTATGGCAAAAATTTTAATTAGAAACTTCTCAGGTATTTGGCATGCCAGTATAATGAATAAAGATCTTGATAGAGTGTCAGAGTGTCAGTTATAATTCTAACTCTGTGACACTGAGAGTTACTTCAGTCCTCTTTAGTATAAGCTGTTGAACTGGCATTGTTTCTGGTTCCCGCTTTTTATATTCTGTTCTACAATTTGTTCATCTGTAAAAGACTTAATAGTATCATTTTTCAGTCTAGATGCTTTTTTTTAACATGAAGGTAATGTAAACATGTAATGTTTTTAAATGTGCATTTTAGTTTTTGATTTAAATGTTAGGCATTATTTTGTATACCAACCTCTTTTTCATATGACCCCGATCCTAATAAATAAAAAACAATTTGGTATGGGGAGCGGGCATGTATTTGGCCTCTTGTTTAAGCCGGTTCCCAACTCCGCTCCCAACTCTGGCTTCCTGCTGATGCTCCCTCTAGGAGGAAGCAGGTCATGGCTCTACTGTTTGGGTCCCTGCTCCCTGTTTGGATTGAGTTCCTAACTTGTGGCTTTGTGCTGTTGCAGTCCTAGCACCAGCCATTGTGGGTGTGAGGCAGAGTGGACCTGCTGGTGGGAGCGCACACTCGTGCCTTCTCCCACTCTGTCCCTGTCTCCAGCCATTCTCTGCTGCTTTTTCGGGCACTTCAGCAGGGAGCTGGATTATTAGCAGAGCAGCCAGGGCTCCAGCTGGTACTCAGACATGGATGCAGCGTTGTGAGCAGCGGCCCAACCCTCTGCGCCAGAATGCTGACAACTCTCTAAAGTCTTTGATTCAGATTGTTTTTAGTGGATTTTGATCATTTATATTTTTCCATTTTTAATTGGCTATTAACAATGTAGGAGGGGCCAGTGCTGGGGCATAGTAGGTTAAGCTTTTGCCTGTGGTTTTGGCATCCTATATGAGTGCTGGTTTGTGTTCCAGCTACTCTTCTTCTGATCCAGCTCTCTGCTAATGGCCTGGGAAAGCAGTAGAAGATGGCCCAAGTGCTTGGGCCCCTGAACCCGCACAGGAGACCAGAAACAGCTCCTACCTCAGACTGGCCCAGCTCCAGCCATTGTGGCCACTGGGGGAGTGAACCAGCAGATGGAAGACCTCTCTGTGTCTCCCTCTCTGTCTGTAACTCTACCTCTCAAATAAATAAATAAAATCTTTACAAAAAAAAATTGTAAGAGATGGCCCAACATTGCGGCGTATGCATTAAGCTACCACCTGCAATGCTGGCTACCCATATGGGTGCTGGTTTGTGTCCTGGCTACCCCAGTTCCCATCCAGCTCGCTTAATAATGGCCTGGGAAAAGCAGCAGAAGATGGACTGGGAGATCTGAAGGAACCTGCTGGCTCCTGACTTTGGCCTGGCCCAGTTCCTGGCTGTGGCAGCCATCTGGGGAGTGAACCAGCAGATGGGAGGTCTTTCTCTGTCTCCGTCTCTGTCTCTGTCTCTCTCTCTCTAACTCTGACTTCAAATAAATAAATAAACCTTGGCCGGCGCCGTGGCTCACTAGGCTAATCCTCTGCCTTGCGGGGCCGGCACACCAGGTTCTAGTCCCGGTCGGGGCGCCGGATTCTGTCCCGGTTGCCCCTCTTCCAGGCCAGCTCTCTGCTGTGGCCAGGGAAGTACAGTGGAGGATGGCCCAAATGCTTGGGCCCTGCACCCCATGGGAGACCAGGATAAGTACCTGGCTCCTGCCATCGGATCAGCGCGGTGCACCGGCCACAGCATGCTGGCCGTGGCGGCCATTGGAGGGTGAACCAACAGCAAAGGAAGACCTTTCTCTCTGTCTCTCTCACTGTCCACTCTGCCTGTCAAAATAAATAAATAAATAAATAAATAAATAAATAAAAATAAATAAACCTTTTTTTAAAAAAATGTAGAACGGTCATTCAGTATTCCTTCAATCTAGATCTTAGCATCAAAATGAATATCTCAATATGCATGATTTATATTTTGAACATGATTTTAGAAATAACTTTTTTTTTTTTTGACAGGCAGAGTTAGAGTGAGAGAGACAGAGAGAAAGGTCTTCTTTCCATTGGTTCACCCCACAAATGGCCGCCACAGCCAGTGCACCGTGCCAATCAGGAGCCAGGAACCAGGTGCTTCCTCCTGGTCTCCCATGCGGGTGCAGGGCCCAAGGACCTGGGCCATCCTCTACTGCCTTCCCGGGCCACAGCAGAGAGCTGGACTAGAAGAGGAGCAACCAGGACAGAATCTGGTGCCCCAACCGGGACTAGAACCCAGGGTGCTGGTGCGCAGGCGGAGGATTAGCCAAGTGAGCCATGGCGCTGGCCAAGAAATAGCTTTTAGGGGGGCCAGCATTGTGACATAGTGGGTAAAGCTGCTGTGTGCAGTGCCAGCATTCCATGTGGGCAGTGGTTCGAGTCCCAGCTGCTCCACTTCCAAAAAAGCTCTCTGCTATGGCTGGGGAAAGCAGTAGAAGGTGGCCCAAGTCCTTGGGCCCCTGTACCTGCATGGGAGACTTGGAATAAGCTGTTGGCTTTTGGCTTCAGATCAGGCCAGCTGTGGCCATTGCAGTCATTTGGGGAATGAACCAATAGATGGAAGACCTCTCTTTGTCTCTCTGTCTCTGCTTCTCTGTAATTCTGCCTTTCAAATAAATAAGTGAATCTTTAAAAAAAGAAGAAATAGCTTTTAGGAAACTTAACATAGTTAATAAAGGTGACTTTGTTTTCCCATAGGAGGATCCAAATCAGATGAAAAAGTGGACTTGAGCAAGGACAAAAAATTAGCTCAGTTTAACAACTGGTTTACGTGGTGTCACAACTGCAGGCACGGTGGCCATGCTGGACACATGCTTAGTTGGTTCAGGTAATCCATGCGTTTCTTCTTCCATCGGCTTGGAGTTACAGGAGATAATGTGCATAATCTATAAGATAGTTTAGGCTTATCTATTATAAATCCAAAGGATGAGTTTATTTTTTTGCTGTTACTTAACAATATTTATGTATATATATCTCCTGTGTAAGCATAAACCATAAAATTAATACTTAGATAAGAAGTAGTTTAAATATTTTATATGAGTTAAATGTTTGAGTCTTAGCATTATTTACCTTTTTTATTTGGGAAGAGTATATGTTTATAGTTTTTTATAACTGACTAAATTCCTATAATCTATTGTATAATTGAATTACAAATGAAGTGATAGAGTATATTTCAAACCACTACACCAGTTCTGTTCCAGCCAAACTAGTTTTGAGGTCGGTTAGCGCCTCATGCAGTGAGGGCTGCACTTAACTTTCTCTTCAGACAATGCCAGTGACCCTGTGCTCCTCATTGCTGTAATACTCATGCCCCAGTTTGTCTCACTGGCTTCCATTTAACCTCTGGGTACATCCCCATCACATTTATAATGTGAGTGAGGTAGCTTGCTATATATGTAGAAAGTAAAGCTATTGAATTTTCAATAACTTTCTCTCCCAAATCTGACTTGGCAGTTCTAATTTGATGCTTTTAATGCATTTTTTTCTTCTAGGTTTTAATTCCTGTATTTTTCCTAATACCATTTTGAAAAGTTGCATTACAGATAGGCCTATGATATAGAAAAACAAATATAAGAATGTTTAATTTGGATTTTTGACTGTTATTTGACCTAATTTTTTAGGGACCACGCAGAGTGTCCTGTGTCTGCCTGCACGTGTAAGTGTATGCAGTTGGATACCACAGGGAATCTGGTACCGGCAGAGACTGTTCAGCCATAAAAAGTTACCACCTAAAGAGAACCTTCAAGCATGGAGCTTTCTAATAGATGTCCTTCACAGCTCAAACACATACCTCAGAGCAAGTCACTCGTGACTTTCCTGTAATGGGAAAATAAATCGTTCTATCAGATCAGCAATTTGATGTTTGAGTGATTTTGATGTTCTTCACAGAGACAACTGCTGCTGACGTGAACATCCGAGTGTGGGCATGAGTTCTCTTCAGTGGCTGAAAAAGTTCACATTGGAAGCACTTTTTAGGATGTTGAAATTATGAACACTGTACAAGCTGAGTTTCTGAAATAATAAAGAATAGACCTTGAACCTGTATCTTCAAAGCAAAAATTGGGTATCTTTCAAAAAACTCTATGCACTTCTAAGACAAAAAGAACAGTCCAGTGTTCAGAAGGTAGTTTATGCTAATCCATGCTTAGATTCCATTCAGGTAACTTAAAATTGTAGATTTTCACTTTTAGAATTGGAGCGATCCAACCTGACTTTGATTTTAAGATAAGAAATCTTTCCGCACTGACTGCTGTTGTCTTCCAGGAAGCCAGAATTAAGAATGTATCCTACAGCCTTTTCTCTTCAAAAGAACAGGCTCTTTGCAGAGGAACCTGTTACACGTTCTTGGTTTTGACCTTCCGCTTTTCCAGTGCTCTCGTTTGTTCTCACAGATTTGTCTGCGTGTTATTTTATCATGCTGTTCTCATCTGGGAGCATTTTACTGAACATAAAGTCTATGCAAGGTTATATGTGAGTAGCATTCAGTGTAATCTGTGTAGTGTGCCCTGTTGTCAGATTCCGTCCTGTTGTTTAATACCCTGTTTTTTGGCAAGGTGGGCTACAAGGTACGGGGAGGAACAGGTCACTTCAGAGGCTACGTTAGATGTAGTCTGTGAAAGTAAATGTATTGGAGCTAATTCAGGGACTTTATTTTTTAGATTTTCCGGTTTTGTAACTGGATAGTTGCAAGAGAAAATACAAAGGATTTGTAACAACTTCTCTGCCATCTGCCAGCATGAAGTTCTGTAGTTGCAGCTGTGTTGCTTAGTAAACCTGACTTTTATAGAGTTTGGAGAAAGTAGTATCCTAAGCTGAAGAATTTTTAAGAGCCTTCTTGTTAGCAATTTTACCTGGTAAAATCTAAAATTCATTAGATGATTAGTTTGAGGAGTGACATAGATATTGAACAAAAGTGAATTAAATTTATTTTTTACTTAGACGTCTGATACAAAAGACTCTTTTCTAAGTAGTGCTTATCTACTCTAAACGTTTCTCCTAGATGACAATCTTTTTTAGAATGAAAGGATTAGGGCCGGCGCTGTGGCACAGCGGTTAACGCCCTGGTCTGAAGCGCTGGCATTCCATATGGGCGCCGGTTCTGGTCCTGGCTGCTCCACTTCCAATCCAACTCTGCTATGGCCTGGGAAAGCAGTAGAAGACGGCCCAAGTCCTTGGGCCCCTGCACCCACATGGGAGACCTGGAGGAAGATCCAGGCTGCTGACTTTGGATCAGCGCTGTTCCGGCCACTGTGGCCAGTGAACCATCGGATGAAAGACCTCTCTCCCTCTCTGCCTCTCCTCTCTCTGTGTAACTCTGACTTTTAAGTAAAAAATAAATAAATCTTTAAAAAAAAAAAAAGAAATGAAAAAATTGCAGGTGGATTTTTTTTTAAACAAAGATTGCTGTGAAGGGGACTTTTTCCAGGCCTCTTTGAAGTAAATCTTACTGATTCCATTTTGTTAAAGCATTCACTTTACCTTTTTCACTACTTCAGTTCAAGTGTTCTTTTCCCATTTACCGTTTCCTGAATGTGAATAGGTATCTTTAATGTCAAAGTAATCCGAAGCATTTCGTTGTTTCTTAACTAAAATAAAATATAAAATTATTGAATTCACATGCATTATTTATAATCTTTGGAAATCATAACACAAGGCATGAAATAATAGTCATATAAATTATACTATTATTTATTATCATAATAATATAAGATGACATTTTTAAGATTGTGGCTATCTGCAGCCTCCTGAAGTTTTCCTTGAAGCCCAAACACTCCGTTTATAAGACACATACTATGTTTGGCTTCCAGTGTATGTGGACAATGAAAATAGACCCAAATTATTTTCCTTTTTTTGTTACCAGGTCACTGATATTTGGGTTTATAAATTCAAGATATTTTACCAAACAATGTTCAATTGAAGAGTTCAATTAAAAGTGCTTTATTTGTAAAAGATTGAATAAATCTGGGTTGAAATCAGCATGTCTAATCTTAGAAATTATCTATGACACCTCTAAAAATAATCATATCAAGTAATATTAGTACTTTTTTTTTAAGATTTATTTATTTATTTGAAAGCCTGAAATACAGAGAGAGAGATATCTTCCATCCGCTGGTTCACTCCCCAGATGGCCACAACGGCCAGAGCTGTGCCAGTCCAAAGCTAAGAGCCAGAGCTGCTTCAAGGTCTCCCATGTGGGTGCAGGGGTCTAAGCACTTGGGCCATCTTCTACTGCTTTCCCACGCCATAGCAGAGAGCTGGATTGGAAGAGGAGCAGCCGGGATTCGAACTGGCATTCATATGAGATACCAGTGCTGTAGGCGAAGGCTTAGCCCACTGCATCACAGCGCCAGCCCCATTAGTACTCATTTTAATGGCAAGTTTTCTGTAACTTAGAAATAAAATTTTTAGGCTGCTTTTTAGTTTAGTACACTTTCAAGAATGATGATTGTTTTTTAAAATGGTATTTTTAAAAAGTAGGTTTCCATTTTCAGCATTACACATCTCATAATTACTAGAATATAGTTCTGCATTTTATTTGATAACTAAATTTAAGATCAGCCACCCATTTTATTGCAGATTGTAAAAGTATTTTCTTTGAAACTTAAATTATAATCTTGTCCCCAGTATCTTGGATAAATGACTTGATCGTTTAGAGATTTTATTTCCTCATATGAAAAGGAAGTTAAAAGAAATACCTGTCGGGACCATCGCTGTGGCGCAGTGTGTTAAAGCCCTGACCTGCAGTGCTGGCATCCCATATGGACACCTGGTAGAGCCCCGGCTGCTCCACTTCCAGTCGAGCTCTCTGCTATGGGCTGGAAAAGCAGTAGAAGATGGTCCAAGTCCTTGGGCTCCTGCACCTACACGGGAGACCTGGAGGAGGCTCCTGGCTCCTGGCTTCAGATCAGCTCGGCTCTGGCCATTGTGGTCATTTGGGGAGTGAACCAGTGGAGGGAAGACCTCTCTCTCTCTCTCTGGCTCTACCTCTCTCTGTAACTCTGTCTTTCAAGTATATAAAATAAATCTTTAAAAAAAAATAAAAGAAATATCTATCTTGTAGAGTGGTTGGAAGTATTACGTAATGCAGTAAATGGGAAGTGTCCCCTGTCATATGCTAAGTAAGTATTCTGTAAATGGTAGTGGTTAGTAGTCCTCTGTCTTCATCGGTTATTTATATGTCTAGTACAGTGATTACAATATAGTTTCAACAAAAAATCTGATTCAGGAATAAAAATGTCTCAAGAATAGTAATATTCCAAATATGGGGTAAACAAAAGTAGCTATGTCTTATGAAAAGAAAAATGCGGTAATTTGGAATATTATTACTTTTACTATATGGAATAATTCTCCAATATCTACCTTGGAATTAAGTATGTAGGAGTGAGCCCAGAGATGATAAAAACAGCACATCTGGATAATTGACCAGTGACTTGAAAAGTTGGTAGTTTTCGTATCTAAATTCACATAATTTAACTATAGGAGAAGTTATCCAGAATTCTTGCAATTCTTTCTTTGCTGCAATCCTCTTACACTTGATTTTCATGTAAGTTAAAATGTTGGGGTGGTGATTTAAGGAAGCACACTGAGATTTGCTCTCTACAGGATAGCCATCACTGAATGAGTGGGCACTAGTGAGTTGTGAATGTCTACCATCTGCTCAGAGGCATCAGAGAGGCGGGAGAGACACACGAGTGTTAGTTCAGGGTTCTTGTTTGAATCTTGTGACTTACATGGTGGCAGAGTTGGGCTAGCTGGATAGCATCTCCTCTTTCTGCTGCTCTTCCTTCCATTCCTCATCTATGTATTTTCCCTGCTGCCTGAACGTTTTGTAGTTGGCTTGGCTGCTTATAAAAAGCACTAAAAACAAAAAGGCACTTTAAAAATGTTAATTTTTATGAAATAGTACTTGTCTCAGAGTTTAAGGATAGAAAGCTTCCTAAATGTTTTTAAAAGCTAACTTAACCTAGATTTTGAATTAATAGATTCCTCAATGAATTGATTTCACTTTATCACATGACAGAGTTACAAGTAAACTGTCAAGTCCAGCAGTACATTAATGATAGTAATTGTTACTTTTAGTGCCTGTTATGTGTCAGGTACCCTGCCCAGCTCCTGGCTTTATCCTGGCCAAGTGCTGGCTGTGTGGGCGGCTGGGGAGTGAAGGAGCTGATGGAAGATCGCTATCTCTTCTCTCCTTCCCCCTCCTTTTATCTCTCTCCCTTCCCCTCTCTTCCCTCCCGAATCCCTCCTGTCTGTCTCTGCCTTTCACATAGATGAAAATGAACATTTTTAAAATAAGGTTTTTATCATATAAAGGAAATGTTTTCCCCCATTTTATCCCACCCCTATTTTATGTCACACAAGAAGCCTGGTGTAGAAATAATAGAATCCTTCCCCTTATAGACAGTCAAGGGAGCTGCTGGCACTGGTTCTGCACATTGCCGTGCAGAAGAGGCAAAGGGGAGGAGCACATGCCTGCTGTTTTCCGAGTTGGTAAAGCTGGGTATGACAGAGGTACCAGAAAGAACTAAAAGCCAAACCAATAAACTACAACGTGTGACAAATTTAATACGCTTAGCTCATGAAGAAATTCTCATATGCCTAAGGAAAAGACACAACCAGTAGATAATATCAATTAGAGACCTGTGCAGGTAAAATACATAAGAATGGCTGACAAATGGTAAATCCGTAACATGCTATTTGCAAAGAAAGCAGGGTAGTGTGCACATGTGTACATAGATGAAAAAGAATCAAAGTTTGTGGAAAATCAAAAGAGAACTTTATTTTGGAGCAAGCATTTAGCTTAGTGGTTAAGTCACACACTTCCTCACAGGAGTGCCCTAATCCAGCTCCCAGCTCTGCCTCCTGACTCCAGTTTCTTGCTAATGCAGGTCCTGGGAGACAGTAGTGGTGGCTCAAGTAATGGTTTCTGCACCCACATGGGAGACCTGGATAGCATTCCCTGCTCCTGGTTTAGGCCAAGGCCCAGGGGATTGATAGGAATGCATGTGCACTCAAGTTTCTCTCCCTCCCTCCCTCCAATT